AAGACCTTCATGTCACCAAGTACTATTAAGGTGCTTAGTAGCTTATGATGTGAGACTAATCTTAAAGGATCCATTGTGTGCACTGTGTTTACCGTTCTACTGAAATGTGTTCGTTGAGAAGAAAAGGCAAGAAATAGCATCAAGACAGTCACAATATTTGGATCTCATAGCCCGTTGCTTAGTGATGAAATTGACTGATGTACGAACCCGTGTTATTCCTGGATTACATTAAATATCTGTATTCAATACTCCAATAGCACATGATACCTAAGCATTGCATCACTCCCTGTTGCTATTTCTATTACATTGTTGACATCTCACATAACAAATTTGTGATAACACACACGTTACACCTTTTCCCAGACAATCCCACTTGGAAAGGAGAAGGCAGGAGGACAAGAAATTGAAGTTTCAAGATATTGGAACCCGATTTGTCGCTGCATGTTGGGGGAGGAAGACGAGTGTTGTTTGTTTGACAGGTCTGAGTGTGGGTGAAGACAAAGCACACATGCCTCCCCCATACCGGCCCCTTTTCTTAGAGCCCATATTTCCTCGTTCATTGCTCAAATTGCACGCCGCACATTCCTTCTGTCTGCAGGCTAAAAATGGTATACATATTGAAAAATGCCACAATGAGCAGTATGCAAGAGAAACATTCCTGTCTTAACCTGTCACGTCTTTGCACCGAGTCTTCTCCCTCGATACGTGCCTGAGTGTATCTTCACTCCTCTCACACCGGTCTGCCCACCACCACCGCAACGCCTACCATCTCCTGCCTTTATTTTTTATCTCTTTAATGCGGACCTGCCTGCCATTCACCTGTAACATCCACCTACTGCCTTCACTGCTCCCTCTCAAATGTCACTGTTTCCCTAGAGTGGCCAATATCCTGCTGAACTACTGGGGGGGTAGATGTGAAAATCATGCAGGTGAGGAAAAAAGTGCCACTAGAAAGTGACCACAGACCTGATTTCTGGTGTTCTCTGATATGCTTCGATGGATTATTCCCACAGATGAGATTATTAATTAACAGAAAACCCATCTATTGTGTAAAAATAGAAGTTTAAACCTGAAATTGAAACTATTCCTGGAAGATGACTTCCTTGGTAATGCTTCAGTTTGGCTGTATTATGAATAATTTAGAGTTATTACTGCAGCATCTACTTCACAGCTGTTCACTGGCAACTGTGCTGAGTCTTGTGTCAGTTATTTCAAAGATTATTGACAAAGAAATGTCATTTTACACCACATTGGGGTATATTCCAATTTGTAACTTTGTATTTTTTACTAACCTGCATGAACAAAAGTACAATACTAAAGAGTGACTCTGATCAGTGAGCACCATGTCATCATGTTGTTGCAGTATTTTTCAACCAAGTTTAGTTTTATTCACATTTACTTCTATTAAAATTTGCAGTTGCATTCTCCACTCTTCCTTTTTCAGGCTTTTAAACATGCACTCTTTACTTTCTTCTGGCACTGAAGCAAAATTATGACGATTACGTGACATCTCATTGTACCTCAACTGAACACCTTTATTACAATTGTCATGTGAATAGTTTTTGTAATAAAACTCTGATATGATCAGCCAGAAATCAGAAATGCGATGTGCCATCTATCTTGTGAGGAAAGCTTCGATATGAGACTATAAGAAAGGAGAGAAATCAAGACAAAGGAATGCGGATTCAGTGATTTTCTTCAGGCCATTTTATCAAAATAGATTTGAATAAATATTAGAAGTAAAAATCTGCTTTGGTCCACTTTTATCTGTAATTTAAACGGACAGAAACCTGTGATATGTTTCTCTTAGACAAATGTGTGCATGTTGCCATAGAGCTGTTCTTTTTAATGTGCGTAACTCTGTCTTGCTGCCAGTGTCCAGGAAATCCTCAGAGGTATTTCCTCTACCACCGATTCAGCACCTCTGTTCAAAGCTGAGGAGCTTGTTTTATTTGCACCTGGACGAGTGCTGTTGATGCTGTTACAAAAGCAGAAGATTACAGACAAATACCCTTGCCTTTTTACTCTCAGGATGTGGCAATGTGGAAACAGAAGGCTGTTAAACTGTGATTGTTCTGCAATGTTGAGAAAGGCTTGATGTTGAAATACCAGAAATATAGTAAGGAAGCCGGAGTAGCTATCTATCTATCTATCTATCTATCTATCTATCTATCTATCTATCTATCTATCTATCTATCTATCTATCTATCTATCTATCTATCTATCTATCTAT